CTGATGCTTAGAGACAATAAAATCTGTAGGATTAGGACATGTTTGTGAGCGCTGGAAAAACTGGAGATCCCTGGGAAGATGGAAGCAGTTCCACCATATTGAAGAAGGAAGTTCTTCTCAGAGTAGTTAATCATAAACTAGGAAATGCACAGCCATAATATACATGAAAGTAGCATTGAATTAACAGGTTTTCTTATGGTCTTATGGCCGCAAGAGCGGTGAAGTGACCAGAGGGAATTCTACGGCTCTGGACGGTCAGAGCAGAGCGGTGACCACTGAAGTTGAAAACTCTGAACTTTTGACTGAAATCATGGTGCAGCAACCATCAGGGACTGGTTGTGACATGGTTTTAATGGAGAGTAGCTGAGTCAAATCTTTCCTTAATCAAAATAGAATATAGAGAAGGTAATATCGACCATGGTTGAAATAATGAATATTGAAGAATTCATTCCTCATCGCCCTAGCTGCAGTGCAGACCCTGGCCAGACGGTACCTCTCCCCAGGACTGGTACTCTCTGCCTGGCTAGATATAAGGAAGTACTCCTGAGTTTTTGGAGAAGGTGGTGATACTCTCTAAGCTATTTCAGTTTCTGGAGAATTGGCTGGACCCATAGAAATTTATGCTGATGGTATTGTTTGGCTTACCACAGCTAAAGAAAAAGGTTCATGACTCACTTGATAAAATCCCTGATCATCATGTTGACTTGAAACTGACTGATAGAAGTTGAAGTTTCTCCTATCTGAAATGCACAGTGGTCAACTCTGCGCGGTGTAGGCAGAAATTACACTGGGTTCGGTTTGGATGCGCCATTATTTCTAACCCATTTCTATTGCCTATCTGTGACCCTTACCCTGAACTTTACCATAATGATTTTCTAGTAACCCTGACCCCAACCTAATCTCTAATTAGACCTTAGTACTAAACATAGCCCCTGGCCGTTAAACAGCAATCCCCCTCATGGCTTCCAGACATTGGGCTTTACATAGAGCAGTAGGCCTTCACCATGTACTGTTTTTCCAGAGAATGGGCCCCACGGTATATCAAATGCAAGAACACACACAGAAAATCACATTTCTCTATCCTTGCAGGGACCACAAGATTAGTTGTCCCCATAACAGCAGTCGGTTCCAACAAGGTGCTATGATTTATGGAAAATGGTCCATACACAGATACACAAACATCTTCCCTTGTCACGTGTCGTGGTGACGTTGATGGAGAGGATTGATTGTTTATAGGGAATGTTACTTCCATCCTGTGTGACATATGATTTGTTAATGGATTTTGGATAAAACATTTGCATACACATCCATTAGTTTGGTTCATGAGGTAACTTTTGCAACATTTTGTGGGTCAGGAGCTGATAAGTTTGGGAAAACATGATCTAGTTAAACTTAGCGTAAAGCCAAAGAGTAAGCATAGGTGGTTCTGTCTTACAACAGCAATGCATGGATGCATCTATTTTCCGTACCTGCTTGTCTGTCAGGGTCATATGGGGATGGTGCCTCGCTCTAGCATTTTTTGGCAAAAGGCAGGATACATTCTGAACATGTCTCAAGGTATTAACAGAATGATACAAAGATGCACAATTGCAAAACAAATATGCCCACAATGATTTGGGCTGTGGTGGGAGTCTGGGTACCTGGAGAGAATCAACAAATGCATGGGAAGAACACACAAACTCCATGCAGAAGACCTCAGGACCTTCTTGATGTAAGACAACAGTGCTATAAACTGCACCACTGCGAAGCTCTCTGTGGCAAATCCCACAGAGAGCAGACCATGGCCAGACCCCGAACCTGCGGGAGGGGCTATTCCTGTCTGAAATTGTATTATTATAGGTATTATCAAACTTACTTATCATAATTCTGACATCCGACTGAAAACGGAAAGCTGCAATGCTGGTCGTGGTGGCCCACCATGAGTAAATGTATTTTATGGAAAGATACCCGCATACCTGAGGAGATATGCACAAGTTTCAGAAATAAATATATAACAAAAGAAATCCATCAATTGTATAAATAACTATTTAATAAAACGACTGCTTAGATATTAAGTTACTAATCATATCCTTTGATTTTGTATTTTTCTTAATTCAAGCAAACACAAAATTGTGGGAAAGATCTGGTATTGTAAGGACCAGAATAGAAAATATAGAAAAATATCTTAATAAACTAGAAGGAATGTTTTGTACATCGCTGTTGTGGTGGATCTAATTACTTTTTTGTATACTATGATTAGATAATCATTTGATAAATTGAGAAATTATTTTATTTATTTATTTATTTATTATTTTATTTATTCATATACAATATTATGATAAATAAATTTTTGATTACACTATGAAAGCATTAGGCTGCCTCAGAAAATGACAGTCTGTCCTTAATGCCTTTATGTTCAGGCCTAAAAAGCTGCACATTGACAACATTTATAGTAGCTCTTGTTTAATGAAAGAAAAGCCAGAAAAATAACTTGAATCTGTTAAAGTAATAATAAATTAAAATTCTATGAAAGTTAAAAAAAGGAAATTCATACATGCTTTTCAATCATGCTTCAACAGAATGATTAGAAAAAAACAAAAATCTCCTGAAACAGGCCTGGACAAAATTATGGTACCTTTAGAAAAGACTGAAAATAAAGTAACCAAAGGAATATCAAGGTCTGTCCACTAATTAGCGTCACAGGTGTCTACAATATTGTAATCAGCCAGTTAAACTATATATACTGTAGGGCTACAGGTGGTCACTGTGCTGTTTGGTGACCTATCCTCTCTTGTGCTGCTCAGGTTCTCTAAGTTTGAGCTAAATCCTCTTTTCTGTGATATCTCTAAGTTACTGTAACTTTACAGAGTAACTTAGAGATATGCTCTTTTAAACACATTTAATACGGTTTTACTTTTTACACTGACAATTTTTTTTATTCCTTATGATAAGAGGTCTTCTTTCTTTCTTCCCTGATGCTTTCTGGACTCTCTCTAAATCTCCTCTTCTCCATGCTTTCTGCGCTCTTTTGATATGTGTAATAAACTATTTTTGTAGCTTTGAATGTGAATTTTTTAGAGGAAGAGTGTGCTGTAAATAAATGCCAGCATGTTTTAGAAAATTATATAAAACTTTTACTGTAAAAATCTTAAATTTAGAGAGAAGCAGCCAATCAGAGATCAGGTGTTCCATGGAAGCGGCCCTAGTCCCATCTCCCTGATTTTTGATTTATGTGTAAAAGTTCAAATTAATTTATGGTGTGCTTTAAAGAAGAAAGATTACATAATATATTAAATTGATTAATTTTTTATTGTTTTTATTGTTTTTATTTCCATAGACGTATGCCCAAGATTAGTTGAAGGAAATTGATTCTCCACTTTTGAAAGCTCTCATTGTTTCCATTTTTTTTTTTTTTTTGCTTTATATAGTAGACAGAGAATGCATTTGCTTTCTGAAAATCCACCCACACTCAACTAATTAATTAAAAGGGAATTCCGAGTTTAAATCGTCACTAATCCAAGCAGGATGAGGCAGTGTTATCAAATAACTCATAACTCCACTACGACAAGCACATGCGCAATCATCACTTCCCACATCCAGCGCCAACTGAGCTAAATCTTATAACCATCTGCATCTCCAGAGCGATCATCATTTTGTAGGAGAGAAGGAAGCTGAGCTTTGTTGGAGTTGCCTGTTTACCCAGGAAAACTATTCTATTGACAAATACCGATTATGTATTTTAAGTTCTTAAGATGTTTTTTTCACCCAAAGCCTCTCTTATTCTGATCAGAGAGTTGAGGATAAAAAGGTTAAAAGTGGATTCTGAAAATCAGTAATGTCTCCATTCCCTAATCCGAGGCACAGACTTAAAAGGGGATGTGTGGAACACCCATTTGGTAAGGTTTAAAAAAGAAGGAACACAAAAAACAACTGCAAAACGGACTCCAGCTGAAATATGCATGCAGGTGAGTGACATCAATATGTTTTCTTTATTATGCTTTCTTGCACGAGCAAACATAGTGGATTAAAGAGTGACAGGGGCTTCTTTAATCCAGCAACTTCCTCTTTGGAAATATATGTTGTTCAAAAACCTATATTTTTCATTTGTAGTTTAAATCCACTGGTTACTAGTTTAAGCTCCTTAGATTTATTTTTCATTCATTTATCTACAACATTTCCCTGATTTTGCATGCTCTGATTCCTATGGCAACAGTCCCACTAGCTGGTGTTTAGTGGGCACCCTTTGAAGAGAGAAAGAGATTTTTTCCATTAAATGTTGCAATGTTTTGTTTTCTCATCTGTGGCTTAGCAAAAACCATATATGTTGCCTTGCATTTTTTCATCTTAACTGTGAACATAGTGTAATGACACTTTAGATCATTTCTTTATAATCTCTGCCATTTTCTTTTTCTTTGTTTTTAATGATCTTTTATGCTACTTTAAACTGTAAAGTTTCTAAGAAAATGTAATATTAAAGCACAATAAAGCTAGAAGAAAAAGATATTAGCTATACCTCACATTATTAATAAAAGTCAGCAGGGGGTTGAACCTACAGTATAACAATTAACTGTTATTGTGCACATCGAGTGTAAAATAAAACTGACATTTTAGTTAAAAAAAACATCTATAGGGCGGTTTAGCATCTTTTGATCTCATGAAACTTCTTTATTTAAGATGCATTTTGTCATAAAATTGAGCCAACCTTCAGGCATTTGATTTCTCTGTTAACTTGAGACGCCACTGTATTGGTTCAAGGCAAACAGATTGTCAATGTTTCAGCCTCTCAGTTAAGCTCTGAAGCAAACAAAGAAAAAAAAAAACAAATAAATGTAATGAAAAGATGCAACCTCGGATGCAAACAGATGGTAGTAGCAGCATGGTCTTATGCTCGAAGCAATACTTTAAACTCCTCAACTCTGACCTTTTATATACATCAAGAGACATCAAACAAATCCTGCTAAGCTCTCTCTATCTTTCTTATTCCTTGATTGTACCCCTCCTCGCTGTGGCGTCATTCACTGATGACTTCTCCTACAGTTTGGATATTACTCCTTTTCACCAAAGAGGGATTTTCTCTTGCACAGAGGATTAAAGGTAATTCTCATCTCACCATTAACATTTAGCTTTCTTTTAAGATGTTGAAGTAATGTTTACATATTCTCAACTGATAAAAGAATTTCATTCAATTTGTAGAAGGAGGTGCAGGATCTAAAGGAGGCAGATTCAGTGAGCAGTCACGGAACAATCGCCACTGTGGGACCTGGGTTCGAAAATTAGATGGAGGAAGCTTCAACTCTCCAAACTACCCAAATACATACCCTCCAAACAAGGAGTGCCTTTACGTACTGGAAGGTAACAGGCATGTGAGCCTGATTGTTAAGCTTTGCAAAAAGAGTTGATTTTTAAGTACCGTAGGTTTTATCAAAAAAAATTTCTGATGGTGGCTCGGAAGCAAAATATATTTTTCAGCAGCCATTAATCTAAGCATTCATTCATACAAAACTCTAATATTCATTTGCAACGAATAAGTGAAAAATTGTTTACTGATTTAATTGATACAAAAAAAAGATTGAACTCCTTAACTGATTCAAAGGTTACTTCTGCAAAGGTTTAGTTTAAGGTTAACTTTATATAAAGTATCATCCTAGGATGTAAGCTATCCTCCTTCAGACTGATTTGCATTTTTAGATAATTTGTCCAGAATATAACTTATATGTCTAGTGTGTATATACTTTTTAGAGTGCAGTCTTACTTCTTGTGCCATGGCTTGGTTTAATAAAAGTGATACCCTGCCCATGTTTTGACAGCTCTGCCCCGTCAGAGGATTGAGCTGCTGTTTAACAAGTTCTTTCAAATCGAAGCCTCATTCGAGTGCCGCTTTGACCACATTGAGGTGAGGGACGGTCCCTTCAGCTTCTCGCCGCTCATCCATCGTTTCTGTGGCACAGCCAGTCCCGGCCTTATCCAATCCAGTGGACGCTTCATGTGGATCCGGTTCTACAGCGATGAAGAGCTTGAGGGGAAGGGATTCCAGGTTCAGTATAGGTTTACTGCAGGTGAATAAACTTCATAAAGTTGATTGGGTCACCTTTTTAAGCCAATATTCTTACAGCAACTTTTGTTTTGTTGTTTTTTAATCCCCATGCTCTGTGTCTCTCTCGTTTTCCTAAAAAGATCCTGAATTTCATCTACACGTAGGGGGACTTTTAAACCCCATCCCAGGTGAGACATTCACAAGTCATAACTGAGATTAAGCTGTCAGTCAATGTCCTTAAAATGTTTGATCCTCTTATCCCTCTAATGCTTCTTAGTCGTATTTTGTCTGTCTGTGGTTCAGATTGTCAGTTTGAGCTAAATGGGCTTGATGGCATGATCCGCTCCAGCCAGGTTGAGGAGGAGAATAAAGTGAAGCCGGACCAGGCAGTGGACTGCATCTGGACTATACAAGCCCCAGTGAATAACAGAGTACGGCATGTCTCAGTAATCTCCCTTGGAACATTTGATCTAAGTAATAAGCTTTATTTTCAAACCAATGTTTAGGAATTAAAATTTTATTTGTCTTTGATCAAATCACATAAAATTCATAATTATTGGCCACTAGATTATCTTATCCTTTATTCTAGCACTGAATAAAGGATAAGATAGGATTGATTTGAGTAGTGAGCTTGAACAGTAGCAATGCTGAAAATATTATCATTCACAGATGGTGTTACTTTTTATTTCTTTTAGATTTACCTGAAATTCATGGAATATCAGATGGAAAACTCAAATGAATGTAAGAAGAATTTTGTGGCTGTTTATGATGGCAGCAGTGCGATCGAGGACCTCAAGGTAAAACACTGTCTAACATTTTAGCACATCAGAAAGATGCAGATGGTCAATTTGCCCGAGATGATGAATTATAAAAAGTTAATTTTTTCTACCAATTAAATACCTTAAAAAGGAGCCACCTTGAGTGTTTGAAGCCATCAGCACAACACATAATGTATTCTGATGCACCAGTTTAGTGCAGTGAAGGCATCACTTTATCATCCTGAGTTTCTAACATGCCTTGTTTTTCTTTCCCTGCCATAAATGTATGATTGGATGATGAATAACGAGCAGCTGGCCTAGAAAACCTAGCCTCAGCGAGGCCACACATACAGTCATCAATGAAAGTGGTGTGTGGTTTCTTGCAGGCCAAGTTTTGTAGTACAGTTGCTAATGATATCATGCTGGAGACTGGTTTTGGAGTGGTGAGGATGTGGGCAGATGAGACAAGCCGTCTTAGCCGCTTCAAGATGCTGTTCACAGTCTTCTCTGATCGTGAGTTCCCACTTTCTGATTAATCTTTGCTTTTTCTTCTATTCATTTTGAGTAGCAGTGACCATTGTGATGTATTGTTTAGTGATGATAGCTAACAGTGAGGTAGTTAAGTTAAATTTCAGATATATTCTTTTAAACAACAAATCATTTGCCTACAATCGTGAAAAAATTAGGACACCCTTGAGCAGCTTATATGTTTTCTTAAATATATGGAGATTTTAAATTGAATGAATTTCATTGCTTAGTGATCTAACTAAACAATTTCAATAGATGAAAAGAAAAGAAAAAACCTTGGGCAAACTGCAAAAAAAAAACAGCCTGATGAAAAACGTAGAAGTAAGGACACTCCAAAATATATTGTTACTTAAAATGGCTGAAATTACATGTAGTCGCATCACAATAAGTGCAAATGACTCAGTATTTTGAACAAAGTTTGTCCTGTTTGAACTCTAGATATTTAGTTGGTTTTCTCCTGGGTGTTGAAGCAAAAGTAAACACTGTGCTGAGATTTGAAATGCTATCTGAAGCCTCCAGGTTGGGATCGTTGCAGCTTGAAAGAGATACATTGAGGTCTAAAAACTGCAATTCAGCGATTTTATTTTAAAGCAACTGCTAACAGGCCTGGTTATAGTAAACAAGGTCTCAAAATCTTCCAAATGTGAACCTGAAGCCACCTATTACTTTAGTTAAAAAGTCCATGCCTCTACAGACAGAAAAAGACGAGTCAGGTTTAGGTTTGATAGGATGTGTGCAAGCTGGAAACCTTTATTCTCTAATCAAACCATATAAACCATGCTAAGGTTTACAAGACAGAATATGCACAAAGACCAGGATCTTTTTAATAATATTCTTTGCACAGATGAGTCTAAAACTGAAGTATTAGAGGCACCAGAACATCTCTGCATAAAGAGGACTTCAGAAGAAGGACAGACCAACCGTGAAGCATATAGCTCTCACAGTTTATGGATGCTTTGGTGCTGCAGGACATGGACAGTTCCCCTTGATAGAATGCACATTAGCTCCATGTATCCAAGAGTGCTGAAAAAATTGTGCGATTATCTGTAAAACCATTTGAGATGAAGCAAAACGTAATTCTGACACATGACAATGACCTGAAACTCCAAATTAGACTGGCCTAGTGTTAAAAAAAAAATAATGGCAATTTGTTAATAAATAGGCAATATATGCAGAAAACAAACAAACTAAAAAAAACACAGCAAAATACTCAAACATGTTACAGCTGAAAATCCTTCACAGTTTATATGAGAATATCGTTTATACACTGAGTACCGTAATACAAAGTTAAGGTAATGTGTAAACATGTAGAAAAATACTCTCTTTCTGAGATATTTAAAAGAGAATAATCAGTCATGTGGGAGCATTAATTTTGGAAGCACTGAACAATAAATGAGGTGTCCTATGTTTTCCATATGATGGTTGCTTCATATAGGTACAGCTTAAGCTGTTTCAACCTGGATTTTCCTTTATAGTTCTCAAACAGAGCTGTTGTGTTTGTGTTTTAGCTCCTTGCATTGGCAGCACATTCTTCTGCCACAGCAACATGTGCATCAACAACTCTCTGGTCTGTAATGGCGTACAAAACTGTGTCTTTCCCTGGGATGAGAACAACTGCCAAGGTAACCCAGCTCTGTCAGACACATTCTTCATGCTGTAGTACATAGAGCGGTGTCATGTTTGGAATTCCTTTACTTGTCATGCTTATATCTGATCACTGTCTTTGAGCCTTTGAAGGATCTCTGCTTGTAAATATGAGCAGTGCTTTGCAGCAAAACACCAGAGTTTAATTAATATTTTACACTAAATCCACAGAAGAATAAAAACTGGGAATTATTTAGAAAAATCCTTTCAGTGGGAAACTCAGAAACTCATGATCGTGACCTGTTTTCATCTAGTACTAGTAGAGACTTTTTGGCTCATATGGTCATGGTAAAAATAAAGTATATTTTAGTAAATTTTGGGGCTTTAAAATAAAGATTATCTGCTATTTAACAGTCAGTAATCATTTAGCAAAAAAGTGTCAAAATCTAAAAGTATATGAATATGTTGGTAATCATTCTAAAAGCATATCCCTGATACTAAATTTATAAAAGTCCCAGATTTCTTACTTTCTTTTTACCATTTTTGGGGGTACTTGAGTGTGGGAATTTACTGTAGATTAATTCCCTGATTAGCAGGCATATGTATACTGTATACATAGACCTATGGCAACAAGATAATAATTATTGTAGGATTTCAGAATTTTCTTCTGATTTTTATCTTAATATATCTCCTCATGTCTGTATTCCAGAGGCAAAGAGCAAAACTGCTATTTTCCAAATCACCAAGACTCAGGGAACCATCATCTGTATTTCTACAGGGGTAGTGATGTTACTCCTGATTTTCTCCATAATGGTGCAAGTTAAACAGCCACGTAAAAAGGTAATAAAAATGAGATGTTAACACTTATTTCAAAATCAATCTTCAGTTCTGGTAAGACAAAAAGGACGGCAGGTAGCATTCAATGCAATTCATATTATTCCTGAAACAAAAAAAAAGGCACAATAGAAAAGCTGTGTTAAAACAAAGCAGAGCACTAATCTGAAGCATAAATATGTTTCCTAACACAAAGTAAAGAATTAAACTCACTGAAATTAAATGACATTGATAGAACTAATATTAATGTCAATTAGTTTAGGAAAGGTTATAAATGCACTAAACATAAAAAAAAAACAAAAACATCAGCCAAAACCATTATAACCAAGAACATTTCAATCATCTGACAAAAAATATGTATTCAACCATAATCACCTAAAACAGTTTTTAGTCAATCACTTTACAGTTCCATTTATTCTTGAAAATAATAGTTACTGATCCTCCTAGCAGCAGATATTTTTGCATATTCACCCATATAAGGCTTTGCAGTGCTAAAATAAATGGCAAAATGAAGACCTACCCAGTTCATTTTGTACGTTTTATAAACAAAAAGTAAAAAATCCCAAATTAAGAATCAGTTAACACCAGGAACAGATTAAAATCTATGACCAAAGCAAAAACTATTTTCAAAAGGGGGGAGTGGCGGCCTAGTGGTTAGGGATCCTGAGGTTCTGAGTTCGAGCCTCACTCCCACTGACTGCCACTCTGGGTCCCTGAGCAAAGACCCTTAACCCCGACACTGCTCCCCAGGCGCCCCACGATGGCAGCCCTCTGCTGCCTAAGGGGAGGGGTTAAATGCTGAGTTAAATTTCTCTAATGTGAGATCAATAAAGTTCAATTATTCTTTATTATTATTATTGTTATTGTTATTATTATCAATAACTATTGCTCTAATTGTATTAACAGTTATTTATTTATAAATAATTTGTCAGATGAAAAACAAACTTGTTATCAGGTACCAGAGAATTTTTCTCAGTGTTATAACTACCAACTACCAACTTTAATTTAATTACTGAAGTGTTTTCCTCACCCCTCTCATCGTCTCATTCTGAACACATAGGGGTGCATGTGGCAGTATTAACTTTGAAAATACTGCCAATAGTGCTATTTGTTGCATTTGAATATTGCCAATGTAGTCACAACTGGTTGCAGACTTGGTCTTGACCAAAATCCAGAGGTTAGCAAACTTTAAAAATGTTGTCTTGAGACCCATTTCAGTTTCTCCTAAAATAAGGCTGCAGAACTTAAGTTTGCATATGAGCGACTAAATAAACAGTAATGTTATTTTTGGAAAGATGAAATCAAAAGAGATAATTGGCTTTTATGTATATCTCCATGTTTGGTAAATGGAAAAAAAGAAAAAAAATCACAAAGCATTCAACTACCACCTCAAAATTACCCAGACATCTGCATGTACTCTAGGCAGTATCTACTGCAGTATCTACTGATGTTAACACATATCTAGTTGGTTGTTCTAATGGCTTTTATCATTACATATAAAAATGATAGTTATTGGAATAGTTTCTCTGCTGTTTTTTTTAAATCAAATCTTATAGTCGAACCAAAGTTGTCTCACTGATGTCCTTGTTCCTTTCCTTTTGAGGCCTACTGTTTGAAAGCTAAAGCGGGGCTGAAGTTCAATTTTTTCAAACAATGATCACAGATTTGAGGTTTGAATTAATTATTTCTGATAACGATTTTGTTTTAAAGGAACAGCTGAGAACCTTTGTGTAAATTAACAAAGGCAATAAATGGAATAATGTTTAGTATTTGTTCATTCTTAGCTACAAAATGAAAAGAAATAACTTTATAACTTGGTTATAACTGAGTTATAACTTGGTTATAACTCAGTTACTGTGATTAGGTTTTGATAGATAAAGGCCTGAAATTAAGAAAAAAAACTTTACTTTCTATTAACCACAGCAGCATTTTTGTTGGTGCATAAATTATTTTTATATGTTTTCAAGGTAGTGAGACGAAAGAAAAAACTGTTCCAAAACCCTCACCTCCAGAAGATGTTTGAACCCCAGCACTACGAGCTGTTTTCTGTCAGAGATAAGGTTCAAATTATAATCCATTAAAAACATACCTGTTATTGTCCTTACCAGCGTATAAAATGTCCTTGATCTGTTTATTACTTTTAGGAGATGTCTGGAGACTTAAGGGAGCTTTCAGAGGAACTCCTGTCCCTCCAAGCTCTGAGGAGATCTTCGTCCGGATCTCGCTGTGTTCACGAACATCATTGTGGTTCCCAAGCTTCCATCAACTCTATCAAAGCCAGTCTTGGTTCATATGCGTTGGGGAAGGGATCTTTGGATCTACCTACTTTTAGAAGGGACAGTCAGACTGATGTGCCTTCTTTCAGAGATGTGGACAGCAGTTTGAGGAAGAAAAGCTGGCCTGGTTTAAAACAGAGCCGAATGCAGAGTCAACCTGCTATGGGTGATCGAGTACTGTGGCAGCAGGATAGAGTTATGGAAGAAGATGAGGAGGAAGAGGAGGGAGAGGGGAGGTATGATCTGTATGTAAGAAAAGCAGGGAGCCGAAGGGCAAAATATGACATGGCTCAACAAAGATCTCAGTCCATGGACTTTTAGCATAAACAACAGAGGTTAGCAGATTAAAAAGGCAAAGATTTGGCAACAATTATATGCTGCTGTTAATAAAAAAATGAAGATAAAAACAGATTTATCTTAAATTGCCATTTTTGACTTGCCTTTTTTTATTCATGTTAAAACAGTGTTTTCTAAAAGGCATATGTAGTATCAGGAAACTAAAGAAACAATGGTTTTAATAGACTGTTAAGTCATCTTAGAAGAGTCGGTGGAAGTTTTTGGTGTCATATATCTTTGTTTTCAGGGATACATTACAAAGGGACCCAAAGGACAAAGGGCCATTTTTGCCTGTGAAAGCTTTTTCTTTGTATTCTAGATTACATGGAAATTCATTGTAAAGCCGGAAAAAGAATAACTCAGTGAAACCTAGATAAGATTATTCTCAGACAATGCAAATTCCATGAACCAGACCTTATTAAAACTAAGAATTATGTGTAAAATGCTATGATTCCTCTTTTTCACACAATCTGCTTTTTATGTCTCTCTCTACTATTCAGTGTGTTTAAGTTGCAAGATAAATCACTAGGTGAAATACAATTTTAATATATAAAAAAGTCTCTCAGTCTTTGTTTGATCCATTAATGTGTTCAAATAGGTGAGGAGAAATCTGATCTTGAATTTGACCTACTTTAAGGGATGACTGTTTTGACATGGTTTCTTTTAAAAGGTGTGTTTTACATTTATGTAGTTGAAATTACCTCCAACAAAAGTAATTGGCTTAGTGCTGTATCATATACCCATCTAGCGTGCTGACCATTACCAAACACTGTAAACTTTGGTAAAATATTAACCATTTAACTGTAGACACACCTTGAACTTATACTGTGTGGCACATGACATCATTTTGCAATATATAATCCAAATGAAACCAAAAGCCAGTAGTTACCTTGAATTAGACTTTGTCTGTTTGCTCTGGTAGCTTTTAACTCCCAAACTGAACATTAGCATCTAGGACATTTTTACTTTCTTATTCTTTGTTATTGGTATGAACATTTAAGGGTTGTTATCACTTGGTATTTAACTGCTATTGTGCAGAAAAATTCACACAACTTCAGTGTTTGTGCATGGCTTCTCTTTACCAGACCGGGTTTTAAACCTTTGGTCTCGATGCCCAATTATTAGAGTGAAGGCATTTACTAAGATTAATCTTATAAAGAGAAACATATTCAAAAACAGCCCTTTCATGGGTGAGGTGTTGGCTCCAATCAGACAGTTCTTTACCAGACCTGTTTAGAAATCAGTTTTTATTTTCATTCAGTTGCCCGTGATTATACCAGAGACGCATTATATAACAGGGAACTCAGGGGAAAATAAAAGTATGATAGGTGAAACTATAAACTTTTACTGCAGGACAATGACTCGACAATTTGGATCTGTGATACTGTATCCTTTGTTCTTGGTGCAGAGTACTTTTTTCTGTGAATATACTATTCAGCAACCACTTTGGGTATAATATGAAAGAATCTGCAGTCTGTGGAAACTGTGCTGATGTCCTTATTGACTTCCTGAGGTGTGGTGTGATATCTTTGAAGATATTGTCATTTATTTATTTATTTGTTTGTCAAGGACAGTACACATTGATGAACATTTTTGAACATTTGCCAGTGTTAGCTACGAACCTAGTTTTCAACTGTTGTCCCTGGGCCAGGTGTAAAAATAATAAAACAAACTTAGAAAATATATTTAAAAAAAAATGAGGCTACATTATTAAAAGTGCAGGTCATACAGTTCAAACAGACAATTAGCATGAAAATTTACAGATATTTACCTGGTAACACTCGATTCTGACATTTGGCTGAGACATGCACCAGGTGATAAATAAGGTCTAATGAGCACATTGTTGATTTGTTTTTAACCATTTTTTTTAACTTAGTTCTGAATGTGTTCAAAGTGGAGGATTCTCTGATACTGAGAGGGATGCTGTTCCAGATGTTACAGCTCCTAAAATAACAATGTGGCCAAAGATGGTCCGTCTGAAGGGCACTTTGCAGTCTCTTCTAACCATAGACTGAGGGCTTTGGCAGTTTTATGAACTCCCTTAATGGTGGTGGCACAAGACCATTCAGTACTTTATAAACCATTCAAACTAATGTAAGGTATTTAAAATTCTCAAAGTTGAGGAGATTGTAAGTCTCAAGAATGCGACAATGGTGGTACAAAACAGTTTTCTTTTTGCAAAAATCTTTAAAGCTGTTTTATATAATGATTTGTTTAAATGTAGTTTCATTTGCAGGAGACCAGGTTCTAAAACAATATTCAATGTGCGAGGATACACCATAGAATGCAGAAACATCCTAGCTGCCGGTGACATCATGGATGAACGAATAGAGCTGAAGTTATGAAGACTGCATTTAATTTTTTTAGAGATTTTCTTAACGTGACCTTTAAATATAAGAGTAGAGTCAAAGACTACTCCAAGATATTTGAACTCTTGTACCAGTTCAAGCTCCGCATCTCTGAGATTAATTTGAGTGTTTTTTGTTTTGTTTAGAAAACATCAGACACACACAAAAAAACAAAAGACAGGAAAAAAAAAAACATATCTTTTTAGTATTTATAGGAGCCATGATTTTGAGAACTAGTTTTGGGCTTTTTCAGATGTAAGAATATGGCCAGCTTCCTCTATATTTTTTGCTGGTGTCTGTATTACAGCCTCGCCTGCATACATTTGTATCTGGGTGTGTCTGCTTGCTTCTGGAAGCTTATTTATGTAGAGTGAAAAAAGAGGGACATATAGAGGTATGTAATCACAAGTTGCAGCTGATCGCTTTGAAATTTTGCATTGGAGTAAACGATTTTCTCTACCTGGTAATTGAATTTGACCTAAAAAAAAAAAAAAACTAGGTTTGAAGAAAAGAATACACAGCAAGAACAAAGGCTGTGGAAAGGCCTGAACATGGTTTAATGTCCACCAACCCATCGGATCATATGAAGTGATTACCCTTACATTTTAGAGAAAAGGCAGAGGGCTGAATAGACCGCACACGACTTTCTGCAACTGTGCATTCGGTCGCCCCAAACTAGATAGAACCCGCTCTATTTTGGTCAGACCTCTGTGGTTTTAAATAAAATACTTCCAACAAGCGCTGCCCTTCTTATCTTACCTTATCTCTTACCTTAATATCTTTTGCACTCCCAGCTCTGCTTCCTGTTTAGTCGCCAGTACAACTGTCTCTAAAACTTACAAGATTGCAGGTTTCAGTAGATGCATAATGCAAATCTCCTGTTTTGCGTTGTGTGGAGGTCACTAGAGTACAGTAAATTAAACCAATGATAGAAATAACTATTTGACATAAATTTTAGTTTATAAAATTTATAAGAAAATTATCCAGCTGAAAGAAGCCATTAGAAAATGTATACTTAGACAACTTTTATTGTAATTTTCTGTACATAGAGTGTATACAAAATGAAACTTCGTTTTGTACAGCTTTCAGACAGTAATTGAGCAGCAGCTTAGCAGTGAAATGAACATTTCCATTTTATAAAGTGCAGCAGTGATCAGAGGTAAACAGGGTGGGAGAAAAACATGGTGCAAAGTGCATTGATATGGAAGTTCAAGGCAGTGCAAAGACAAATATGTATGGTGCAAAAATGCCATAGAAAAACAGTTTCTCAACAGTTTAGCAATCTGATGGCAACAGGGAAAAAGCTGTTGCAGAATCTGCTGGACCTGCAGTAGATGCTGTGAAGCCTCTTCCCTGAGGGCAGCGGGGAGAACAGACCATGGTGGGGATGTGAGGGGTCATTGATGATGTTACAGGCTCGGGACACGCAGCGGTTGGAGAGGAGCCCCAATGATCTTCTCTGCTTTTCTCACCACTCTTCTCACATACTTCCAGTCTGAGGCGTTGCAGCCTCCCCACCACCCAGTGGGACAGCTGGTCAGAACTCTCTCTATTGTGCTTCTATAGAAGGTCATGAGGATGGGTGATGGCAGGTGGGCTTTCCTCATCCTCCTCAGGAAGTTCAAGAGCTTCTGTGCCCTTTTGACCAGTGAGGTGGTGTTTACAGTCCAGGTAAGGTTGTCTCTGATGTGCACCCCCAGGAATTTGGTGCTGCTGACCACCTCTAACTAAACTAAACTGTTAATACATGAAACTCTGTCCCTCGCTTCTGAATGTTTCAGCCTAGACCAATTGGGAAAGGTTCAATTTGATTTAAAACTTCATCCAATTTTCCCATCTTTCCCATCTTTGTGAATTGTTGTGTCATGCTTTAGCTCATCTGCTCAAAAGGTTGAATATATTGTTCATATATTGAATTGTTATCTTAAATAGTCATTATGCCCACCTATATGCTGCTCAAAAGGATAATCTTTTTCTAACCATTGTCATTAAACTCAAGAGACAGCTATTTCTTAATAACCCAATCTAATTATAATATATTGAGAAGTTCCCATTTCTCACCAAAACCAATGCCATTTCCAATGCCAAGCCAGTCTCTTGTCAGAGAGACAGTCAAAGGGTCATTTTCACTGTAAAAAAAAAATGTGAAAACGACACGTGAGTGTATAGGTTCTCAAAGAAACGTGTGTGTGGGTATGCCCTATATGTGACCCCAGATGCATAAACATGCATAGCTTCTTTTATGAGATATGTTAACAGCTGTGGTTGCAGACGATTGTGATGGAGCAGATAGTGTGTTCCCTTTCAGTTATGCAACAACTTAGCATTTGTCAATATTCAAACACCTACAGCTCCCAAACACTGAACACACTAACATAAATTATAGCACATGCTTGGGAAACAATGTAAGGAACACAGACTCAGAGGATTTAAAGTGCATAGCCTCTTTAACCACTTAAACAGCGTTAAAACACCACAAATCACTGGTCATAGAAATATAATGCTGATCAAAATGAATAAATACAAAACATTAGATAAACCAGAATGAGATCAATTACAAAATACTAAGCTACAATGACAGCAGCATATACTTAAGTCAATTTTTTTACTGTCCTTAAGCAGCCGTTAATAAATATAATATAAAATATTTTGCATACATTCAAGTCTTAATTAATTTAGGAATGAAACCATTTCTAAAAGGTTACAAAAAATATGCAGTTAAAAAATGCAAACAATAACTTTTCTTCATTCATTTTGACATTTTTAGTCGACACATTCAGCTTGTGTTTCAGTCTAGACGTTTATAATATGAGTGTCCAGTTGGTCCCCCTGAGATCAGTGCAGAACATTATAGCATAACAATACTCTCTTATGGCAATCTGTGTTTCAGCTTTCAAAAGATTCCTCAAAGAAAGCCCTGCGGTCATATCTTAGAAGGGGTGTGTTCTCTCCAAGAACAGCTTCGGTGAAGTTAGGTCGTCTCCAGGCATAAACCATACTGTTAAGGAATCCTTGGAGGGACACAGAGGCAGCCTGAAATAATAATAATGAAAAACAGAAAGCTGTAAAAACTTCTTTCATCTTTAAAGAGGAAATACCAACACCTTTTAAAACCATGGAACTATAAATATTTAGTTAACATGGTATAAGAAACAAAGAAGAAATAAGCCTATCTGCTTTTTTTTTTTTTTTAGCAGAAAATAAAAAAGATAGTATTTCTTTGAGGGAACATTATGAAAAAACACCTTTTTTGGCCATGCATATAAAATGAGAACCATAAATGAATTAACACCTATAATATAAATCCACAGCATTCAGCAAGTTATTGTAGAGAGTTTAGTTATTGAAATACGTCAAATAAATATGTAGCTGCTTATCGCCAAAAATATGTAAAATATACTAAAAAAGAATACCATACCATACCAAATTTATTTATAAATCACTTCCAAAACCCAAAGAGTGGTGTATAAAAGTAGTAATTAAATAAAAAGCAATAATAAAATACTAAAAGAAATACAGTTAGAGAAAGTCAACATCTCAGATTGTGTTAAAAGCCAAAGGGAAAAAAAGCATCTTAAGAAAAGATTGAAATATATATATATTTTTTTTTAAAGCATGGTCCCTCTTAGCTTGCATTTTGTCTTTGGCACCCTCACTAACAAATGGTCAGCTGATCTAAGGGAGCGAGAGGGTGTGTAGGGATGAAGCAGCTCAGACAGGTATGACGGGGCAAGACCATTTAGAGCTTTAAAAGGAAATAAAAGGATTTTAAAATCAAATCTTAAATGTACTGACAGCCAATGTAATGAGGCTAAAATAGGGGAAATATTATCAAATTTGTTTGTACCTGTTAAAAGATGTGCAGCAGCATTCTGCACCCCCTGAAACGTATGAATTACTGATACCCTTATAAAGTGCATTACAGTAATCCTGCCAAGTGGTTACAAAGGCATGGAGCACTGCTTCAAAATGCTGATGTGAAAGGATAGGTTCAACCTTTACTAGCTGCCTCAAGTAGAAGAAGCTGGATTTTACAACGGCTCTAATGTGAGATTCAAACTTCTGACTAGCATCTGTTTTAACCACTAAATTGGTAAGAATAGGCCTGACATGCTGTGCCAAAGATCCAATATCTGTAAGGGAGTCTTCAATGGAACTGGTAAAAATCACCACCTCTGTTTTTTCCTTATTGAGTTTTAAGAAATTTAGGAATATCAATGCTTTCAAATCTTCCAAGCATAAAAGCAGAAACTGAAGAAAAGTGGAGTGAGTCATTCATGTAAAAAGATATAAAATGAATGTGTGACTGCTGATGAACAAAGCTGTTGTTTGTGAGCATAAAGGTTATCAGGAAAAAAAATAATTTAAACTGTTACTTTGTATGTTTTATTGTCTTTCATGTTCACAAATGGTGCTAAATAATTTTTTTCTTTTGGCAAAACAAATAAAAGTATGTATATTAGTATTTTCCTTTATTTACACCCACCACTTCAGGGGACTTTTGATGTAATACTGTTTGCATGCTAGACGATGTTCATGTCATAAGATTTAATCAGCTATATTACTGTTGTATAGTTGGAGATTTATGGCTAAAACACAGACTGCTGGTGTGAAGAGACTCTTACATAATGACTTTATGGCTCACAGCAAAGTCTGTTCTATTCTGTTGACACCTGCTTGTGAGGAATGTGTTGACACATGCCTGCGGTTCTGAACCGGACTAGAAATTATGTCTGCCTGAATAATGTCAGAATATTGAATCACATTTTTTGTCTCCAGCTAACATTTGCCACTGGGGTGAATTGCAAACTGTATTAAAGCAAATGGAGAGTCTATTCCAAACTCAAAGCTGCTGCTTTTAGACAGGAACTCTCCTCTTCCCTGGATATTTTTTAAGTTTGAATTTGACACCTTTTCTATCATTGTGCCTTGATTTATCCTTTTTACACTATTTATGTACTTCTTAAGTATTTCTTAAGTTCAGTCCTAGAAATTATAATAATGATATTTTTTTTTGTAATGCACTTAATAAAAAAAAAGAGTGAAAAGAGTAAAATTGTTAAAATTCAGACGAATGGCTTGTATAAATGTATCTTCCTTTTCTGATACTAACCTGCATCACATAAAGTCCAAATAGGCTGTTTTGATTAACCTCCGTCCAAAGAGACAGCAGAAGGAGGAGAAGAGCTGCAGGAAGATCAAATATGAAACATTAATTTAATGCTAATTTACAGTGGATTGTCTGTTTTCATTGTGTGTGTGTGTGAAAGTACCTGGTGCCCAGCAGAATAATATAACCATAACGATATTTCGTGCTGTAGAAAACACTCTTTTGAATTGCCTTCTTGAATGTCCATCTCCCTCCACCGGGAAGAGCCCTTCCTGCCTGTACCTTTCATACCATTTACCAACTTTGTAATAAATAACCTAAAAAAGAAATGCACCGTTAATACAAACTGCTTTAACAGTTGCAGAACCAAACATGGTAATGCTGTCAAACCACGGCGACAATATAACAAATTCTATTTGAAATACATCATTGCATTAAAATGAATATGACTGTATGTGACTTACAGAGCAAGAAAACATCACTATTATCACTATAACGGCAAGGAAAACTCTGATGAAAGTATCGTGTCCCGAATCCTAAAGAAAAAAATATATAGTTAGCAAAAATGTACATAATTTTTCAAAATGCTGTAATTACAAGCATACAAAGTGTATTAAGACAGATCAGGACACTCACTAATGTGGCGCAAGGGTCATTCCTGATATGCAGGAACAAAATACAGCTGCAGAAAATAGGAGAGAAATTAAACAAAACCCCTGAAAACAAATCCTCCTTTATTAATACGATGCATTTTGAAATAATGAACTTTTTCATTCAATAAGGGCTTCATGCTTACCTGCTACAATATGAGCTGTCGTTGTCAAAAGGCCCATCCTGATATCTATCATGTTCAGGAATTATAATCCCAAAGTTGATCAAAAGAGTGCACACATAAATTAAGTAAAATGCAAGTGGGACAAACCTGAAATAAAAGAGTGATCAAATTAATGCTTCGAGAAATTTTGTTATGGAAATGGGAAAATAAAAGACTCACCACAAAGAGGCAAACATAGGAATCTCTATGATTCTTCTCCCGTACTGGTCCTGTTAATCAAGAGAGGTAGAAGGAGGCATTAAATGACTTTGCTCGTTATGTAGAAATGTAAACCAAAATACAATCTTTTTATGGCCTCACAAGTTCATCTTCATCATCATCTGATGCTCTTTCCCTCCACCCCTGGATAGCATTCTTCGACTTCCAGGCGTAAACAACAGCCAACAAGAATGAAATGAAATAAAATGTCTAGAAGATATAATCACACAGAGAAAAAGAAAATGTCACAATGTGGCATGATAAATCAATAAAAGGCATGATTTTAAGTAGGAATAACTTTACTTAAATGCATGATGCTTAAAATATTTCAAGCTTGCAGTCAGTCAGTTCAGGGAAAGTTCAGAATATCTTGGTAAGTACTATTTTTATGCAGCTTATGGAGGACATTTTTACTGTTTCTGTGAATCCTCTCACATCGTGACTTTATGTGAAACTTTAACCAAAAGTAAATGCATCTATAGTCTAGATGTAAAGGATGTGCTGAGTCACAAGAGCCATCTTTATTCATTTGTTTTAAAACTTGGAGTTAAGCCAATGTGGAATAAATGAGAGATGCCACAGCTGTTCAATCTGCCATATTCTAAAGAAGGCCTGAATAGTAGAGAAAATTATAATAAGATGCATTTTGATAAATAGCTCTTACTGCTCTAAGGGTAAAGAGAAATGCCAGCATGTTTACCTTATACCGTAAATCTCACTCTACTGAAATAATAAAAGTTCTTTAAATGGTTTTTGTCAATTAAATCTTCTCCGATAGATTTTTTACCAGAATTTACTGAAAACTTGAAATTATTTAATTGAACCTATTTCCCTGTGTTTCTTCTTGTCCTTTAAATCCAAGGCCCACTGAAGCATTTAGGTTAACAGGCTAATCCAGATTCTGCTGCAGGCTTTCTTCTGTTAATACATCTGAGAAGAGGTTTGGTTAATGATTTGTTTTTAACTGGAGCTATGGTTCCTCACCATTGACAGCGGCAGGAGGTAAGGGCAGACTTCAGGATCACTGTCATGGTGAACTTTGTTCATGACGCTAGCATACAACAAGACGATAGCAGCCAACAGGTCCGCCAGAGCGAGCTGCACCAAGAGGTGAACCTGGAAAGAAATACAACCTCTGATCAGAAAGACCTCAACAAATATGATTCATTCTGCATCATATTTCTTTGCAAAACCCTTTTTGTGTTTTGCTTTGTGTCAACCACAAATTTCAAGGTATTTTATTCAGATTGTTTTGGGAAAGACCAACATAAAGTAATGAATACATCTACACTGAAATATTTATTTTTCTTTTCTAACAAACATCTGAAATGTTAAATTTTTATTAACTCTACATGAGTTGAAACTTTGTTGAAAAATATTTCTTTAAAATTACTAGTTGTTTACATTGTGACAATTTATCAGAAACCCTCTCACGCAAAAATATTAAGATCAGTTGTCATTACATGACAAAATGTTAAAAAGTTTAAGGTATTTTAACACTTTTGAAAGGAAATATTGGTGTACCAATTAAAAAAAAATAGAACAGTTTCAAACAAAAGTAAAGCTTGTCAATTCAAGCACCTGAACTCACCTGCCCTCTCAGACGTCTCCATTTTACTATAGAAACCAGCAAGACGGAAGAACTCCCAGTCACACTGCAAAAAGTAATTTGTTGGAATTTTTAATGAACTAAGAACAAACCCTTTCCTCAACTACAACAATAATAATAATAGTAATAAGTAACTAACGTAGAAGCTAAGGCATTAAAGCTTCTGGTTGAATAAAATGTCATAATTCCAAATGCAAACTGCCTTAGTTCAATTTGAGACTGGGTCAATTGGATAAGCCAACATAAATGTGAAAATTATTTTTGATGTAAGGAAATATTACAGGTAAAATTTTGTTGAAAGGGATATAATACATTATTTTTTGATAAAATCTGTTGATTTTAATTCTATTTTGATTAAAAGCCATAATTTCACAGTGCTAAAGGAAAATACTCATTAAGATAGCCAAAAAACGATCTTACTGTAGGGGAAACTTAAGTGTGATCAAAAATTACATGAAGCTCAGGTGATTCTGTCATCTTATTTTTACTGAATCCTCCCAAAAAATGAAAACACAACTAAAGTCTATCAAGTGTAAACAACAACCATAAAATGATAACCCCCTACTCTGATTAGTGGGAATAAAACAGTATTCTTTTAACATTGACTTTGAAAGACCTTACTGTGGGAAACTATAAGAACTGTGTGACAACTACAAGTTATGAAATTCACACAACTGCATTATGTAAGCATACTTCTGAAATAAAAAAAAAAGTAGACATGCGGCTCTGCAGGTTTGGCAAATGTCTCTTGGTGAATTAATAGAATGACAATCAGCTGCTAACAATGAACTGCGCTTACATGGTCATAATCCTCTCTGCAAGAATTCATTAAGTTTAATTAAAGAATATATAAGTAATAACAATACCTGAGAGAAAGCAACACTATGTACAACACAGAGAGAGCGTCAATCTGAAAAGCAAAACAAAAAATACAGTTTAAATCAATACCAGAATGCCCTTCAGACTTCCCAAATATATTCCCAACTACCTGCATTGCGTCCAGTAAGCCACTGAAAACGTTTGTTGAATTCAGTGTAGCCATAGCTCTCATTCACTACAAATGTCACTATAAAATATGTCTTCACTGCAGTCCTCTGTTAAACTGCTTTAACCTGTCACATGGCACCTTTTTATAAACTCCTGCACCTTATCACATGTTGCTGTTTTGACTCCACCTAGGCTTTTGAGTGTAGCTGGCATCACAGCATTCCTTTCAAATGGCAATCCCCACATGGAGTAATCTCATTCCCAGTGACCTTACAACAAATTTCCCGTGGAAATTCATTATTGTAAACTGATCATGTAATTCATAAAGACAAAAATGCCTGTTTGTTTTCCCTTGCTCTTCTGACAACATTTTATGAAATAACCCAAGTCCAATAAAGAGACATCTTAACTGCAACACATACCTCCCAATGTTGTTCTTGCATGTGTAGGCTACATGTAGACTTCATATATAAATATATATATATATATATATTTATATACTCTTCCTCAATAGTCGTGGGTGGTCTTCCCCCTTTTTTTATCCAAACTCGTGTCAACCAGAGGCCTGGGAGCTGGAGGGTTCTGTGCAGTATTTTTGCCGTCCCTAGAACTGCACTCTTCTGGACCGAGATGTCTCATGTATTTCTAGGAATCTGCTGTAACCACTCCTTCAGTTTGGTGGTCCCTGCCCCGAGGGGCCCAATGACCGCGGGTACCACTGATGCCTTACAGGAGAACTGACTGGAGAACTGAGACTGAACTGCAAATTAAATGCACCATGAAGCGTTATCACAGATCCTTCCTCCCAGAAGCTGTAAGACTTTGTAACACTCACTGTTCCCAATAACCTCAATTTTGTCACATATCCATTACTGTAAAAAAGTCCACAACTGTATATTGATTCTGTATATTTATTCTCCAGATGCACAGTATTTATATTGTAAAAACACAGTATAACACAGTATTAATTTGCACTGCCGACTGTTTATTCACAGTACCAATTGTTTACATATACATTTGAAATAACGTACTTTAACCGTAATATGCAATTACCTTCCACTGCACTTTAATTTAACTGTAAAAACCCTTTTTATAGTAATATCCACCTGTATAATATATTTGGTACATATCCAGCTGTAAATTTAGTTCATAACACTAGTTATCTATATTTTATATTCATCTATTAGTAAGATTTTGTTTACAATGGTATTCATCTCTATACTTATTCAGTAGAAACCCATGTCCTGTATTTATAGAACTATTATTTATCCTGCACTTGCTGCTACTGCACTTCTGGTTAGAGCTAAGCTGCATTTCGTTGCCTTGTACCTGTAGCTGTGTAATGACAATAAAGTTTAATCTAATCTCATCTAAAAAAAAAATGTTATGTTTATTTTTCCTAACTCTGTCACTTATTCTGTTATTTTTATACACTTTCCTAGGGTGGACATTTGTGTGGCCACTTTTGGTATAATCCGTTAAAGCTGCTGCTGTAACACCACAATTTCCCCATTGTGGGACAATAAAGGGATTTTCTATTTTATTCTCTATATAGGGACTTCTGCCTGGAAAAGCTATACATTGTTGCGCAACAGCGACGCCTAGTGGTATTTCTATTAAACCGTCAAAAATCCTGAAAAAAAACAAAAAAAAAAAAAACGTAATACACCTTATTTTATTACTGAAGTTACTGAAATCTGTTCTCTAATTTGAAAATAAATGCCCATAAACCATGTATACATTTAGGTTTGTATAAATATAGACTTAATAAAATCTTTGGTTGTTGTGTTAGTGGACTGATGACGCGGTGTCTTCCACGTTTACACCGGACGTGGCAGTCTGGACTAGTGAAATCACAGTAACTTCCCTCCTTCACCTCGGACCCGTTTTAAAACATATTTGGTTTCGCTGTAGCTGTGGTTTAATATCAGTTTTAGTTTTATAGAGTCGGACATCCTCGGGCAGCCATGGGGCTCACCATCTCGTCCATCTTCGGTCGGCTGTTTGGGAAAAAACAGATGAGGATTTTGATGGGTGAGTGAAAGTTTGGTTTGGCTAACGGGCAGTTAGCATCGCTTCCCCGAGGAAAAAAGAGGTGAAGTCCCGCTTTAAGAGCAGCTGTTAAAGGGTATGAGGGGGAAAAACGAGTGAAAGGCTGGGTGTGTATTGTTTCCGGAAAGAGAATGAAGTTTTCCCCCCGAAAAAAAGGCGTTTTACGTAAAGAGGTTTGAAACGACAGGCTTTTAATGTGGCCTCCATTAAAGAATGTTAGCAACTTTTTAATCAAAAGTAAGATGGGGGAATTTTATAAAATATGTCTCTCAAAATTCTCAGTTATTACAAAAAAAAAACATGAAAGAGTTCTGTTACAGTCCTTAAAGGAAGTTTGTGGAGTTAAAGTTTTTTTTTTTAAGATAAAAAAAGATCTTTTATGGTAAGGAAAGTCTCTTTTATTATTTCCTTTATAGATTTTGAATAAAACATTTCAAGAATGGATTTAAAATATCCCATATTAAGTTAATATTTTTTCTTGTACCCTTGATAGTTTCATTTGGTGATTGAAATCCTGCTGACAAATACACAAACATTAAAATAAAGTTTTAAAACAAATTACACTCTTTGAACTGTCTATTATAATAGTTATATAATAAAACTAGGCCTGAAACAATTGAATCGTGATGAATCAATTATTAAAATAATCGTCAACTAATTTAGTATTTGATTAATCGTCAACTGGAGTATAAACTCTAAATTATGACTTTAGTTGACAGAGAAACCCACTTAGAGCAGTAATTATATCAAAATTGTACTATATACAATTTTGCATTAGATAAAAAAAAAAAAAAAAGTCCTTTTTTTTCTCTCATTATGCCCTATCCCAAACTCCAAGTGGAAAAGTTTTATTTAATTTCATAAAGAAAAATGTTCCTTAAAGGTATTGCAGAGGATTTTTGCGAGTTTTTTAAAAGACCCGCCCTCTCCGCTAAAAAAAAAAATGCACATGCACAACCCTGTGTCCGCTCCCCATAGGGAACGCCTATTAAAAGTGTGCACGAGCCCATTCCTCATGCACGCTCTGTTTAAAAGTTGCTGTTCTCATAGCTCATGCGAGCTTACCACGCCCGCACGTCCACCCTAACCCCTAAACCCCTCAATCACTATATAGAGTGGGGACTCTATAGTGAACTTTATAATGAACTCAGGTAACTTACCTTTTCCATAATTGATCACTTCTTTTTTCTCCCCTTTGGTCACGCAAGTCCTCCTCCACTGTGTGGTACCTACACTATCTTTGTTATTAGTCGCCGCTGTTGGGTAGGAATAGCCTATGGCGACATAGAAGAGCTCTCTGTGCAAAGCATTCTAGGATATATCTGCCTCTTCTGAGGCCTTTCTGTTCTTCTCGTACACTTCGTAGACACATATTCTCTTACGACCCTCGTCCATTTTCAAAGAACCATGGGGAGAATATTGAGGTTCACCGAAGCTCACCACAGATATACGGCTGAAAGTGCGCATGCGCAGAAAACTATAGCTAACTGGGGACGAGCATTTAGGACGGCCTTACGTAAACATATCACCAGAATTACTGACAAATAGGGGGAGCACTTATTTTGATGATCCCCCCTGGAAATAAAAGATCGTCCTCTATACCTTTAAGGAACCTTTGGCTATCCGATTATTAATCTAAAAAAATAATTAACAGTTTAATTGATTTGCAAAATACTTGCAAGTCTAGTTGCAGCTCTAAATAAAACTTAAACTTTTTCATGTCATATAATGTCAAATCTGTTTGCATTTCATGATTAGTTAAAGGAGAAAATGAACATGACAAATGTCCAAAGTTTAGTTGGAGAAAAAGGCTTAAAGGTTCCTATTTTGTTTTGTTTTTTTTTGGAGGGGAAGCTGTTTTACCAACCGTTACCCTAAAATGCAACATGGCTCTCTAGCATAGCTTCTTATTCAAATAATCCTGAACATTTGAAGGAAGCTACCCTTAAATTTTTTTTCCAGTCTACAGCAGATTGACATGTTCACCTCGTTTTTTAATAGCATTGTATAACTTATTTTATTCCTTATTTCAGTTTAAAAGCTATTCTTGTGATTAATTGAAATCCAAATTAGTTGGATCCAGATACAAAATAGTCACGAATGAAGCTTTAAACCATAATCTAGTTTGCATTGGACAGTGATGTACAAAGAGGTCAGTAAATATTTACAGAGAAAATGGAGGTAGGGAGGAGTGGTGCACCATTATTTATCTTTCTGTATGAAACGCTTAGAGTACGTAAAGCATCTCTGATCAGAGTAAATACTTATCAGAGAAGTAAACTAAAATTTGGGAACCAATTGTCTAAATTAAACATTTAATCAGTTTGGAATTCAGTATTTTTGTTTAAAGAAAAAAAAATGCTAATTAAAACAGCTGTTAAGGAGGAGCTTATCTTAGACCAAAGAAACAGTTAAGATGATTTCGTAACAATGTTGATTCATGGTTGGTGGGATGTTAAGATAATAAAACTAACAGCTGCATAAGACGGTTTTATCAAAATGTCTGCAAACTAAAACTTTGAGTTCCTCAAAAAGTGACAGATTGAACTATGAGTAAAGAACTGTTCTGTTGTCCAGTATCTCTAAAAGGAAAACTGTTTAGCTAAGAGTAAGTAGCACAAACAGTATTACTTTGAATTAAGTAGTTGCAGTCTTTTACGATTAGGACAGGAAATATCCATACTTTGTACAGCCGTACAGCGTTTCTCCTTTGTTGATCAGATTATGAGTTGTTCCTTAAATAACTTGTCATGTTTCATCTCCTCTCCTCAGTTGGATTAGATGCTGCTGGAAAAACAACCATTCTGTACAAACTGAAGCTTGGTGAAATCGTGACCACTATCCCAACCATAGGTAAGATGTTTATTTGAAACTAATCTCTTTATTTCAAATTCCTTTTTTAGTGTTAATGATTTTAATATATATTTTTTTTAATCTGTCACCTTTTTTCTTCAA